TTAAATACGCTCATGGAATGTGGGTTTGCCATGTCCGCCCAGATCCAGAGGTCACGTTCTTCACTCACAGGGAAGGATAGTGATTGAGCTGTAGTGTTGTAATGCCTTGTGCATCTTGTTTTTCCCACGGAACAGAGCTTGTGAGGCAAAAGATGAAGCAGGTCTCTCTCTCTTTGATATTTCATCCTCACAGCACTAATCAGAAGATGAGAAGTGTACCATTGTCTGGAAGTATGTGTAATACTGAATTTTCTTGGGTATTCTATTGAGTGTTGGGAGGAAATGGTCTTGCCACCTTAACTTTCCTCACTATGGTATTCTACTAAAATACTCTTGTCCCTTGAAAGCGGAGCCTCACAGAAGATGATCTCCTAGTCAGGAAATGTCTCCCTCCCCCATTTCATTTAATCTATGCCCAGAACCAATTTTGTTCCATCTCATAAAACACACCTGAATCTGGTGGGGATTTAAGATGTGAAAGATTCAACACGAGCCGGCAATGTGCGCTTGCAGCCCAGAAGGCCAACCGTACCCTTGGTTATACTCTGCTTCCCACCTGAAGTATGGCATCCAATTCTGGAGTATCCAGGACAAGAAAGACATCGAGCTGTTGGAGCAGGTCCAAAGGAGGCCACAAAGATGATCAGAGGGCTGGAAAACCTCCCCTACAAGGACAGGCTGAGAGAGCTGGGCATCTTCAGCCTGGAGAAGGGAAGGCTCTGAGGAGAACTTATAACAGCCTTCAGTACCTGCAAGGGACCTACTTGAAAGCTGGGGAGAGATTTTTTGTAAGGGCAGGTAGTGGCAGGGCAAGGAGAAATGGTTTTAAACTGGCTGAGGGTAGATTTAGACTAGAAATTAGGAAGAAATTCTTTATTGAGAAGGTGGTGAGACACTGGAACAGGTTGCCAAGCGAAGCTGTGGATGCCCCTTCCCTGGAAGCACTCAAGGCCAGGCTGGATGGGGCTTGGAGCAACCTGAGTAGAGGGGGTGTCCCTGCCTATAGCAGGGGGGTTGGAACTAGGTGATATTAAAGGTCCCTTCCAACTCAAACCATTCTATGGTAAGTGTGAAGTGAGAATTATTTGCTGTACGTCGGCCCCCAAATCTCAGAATAGAAAGTCTGTGTTTCAGTAACATTCCTAGATGTCTGTGCTCCCATCAAATAATGTAACACCTTCATAAAACCTAAATACAAAAGTGTTTGAACCCTTTGCATAGTTACGTAAGTTGTATTTTATCATGTACAGATTGCTCAGGCTCAGACAAGGGTGTAAAAATCCTGTGTGAACTCAGTGCTGTAATCTGCAGCTGAGAGCATTTCAAATGACAGCTGGGAGAAAGCAAGTAATTCTGGATGAGTAGCTATGCAGTTGAGATGGGTTTCATGATAAAAACCGTACAGGCAACCTAATCCACTGAATTTTAGTCACTTTCCTGGGGACACCCACACAAAAAAGTTTAGCCAGAACCAAACCAAACATGTTCCAGGTCCTCTTCTGGCCTGTATCTTTTTCTTCGCCTTCCTGATCTGTGTATCAAGGACTCCAGCAGTCTCCTCAGAATGCCAGCATGTCTCAGCTGAAGACAGATCTAGCCTTTAATAATAAGGCTCTCATATTGTTCACAGATCTTCCCTAGAGAGGATGCTGAAAGGAAGAAAGGGGAATTATACATGAACTTCATTTCCTCTCCTAGGTGAATTTCCATTTCTTGAGGCCAGGGATAAGTTTAAGTTCTCTCCGGAGAAATGCGGTGTGCTTATTTATTTAGAAGAGTGCTAACAAGGATAGTTCACAAAAAAGTTTCTTATCAGCAACTTCTGACACAAAAACTTTCAAAGCAACAACTTACATGTTTTTGATAAACTGAACACCTTCTTTACCGAAGTTTCGTCTACCCCCACGTCTGCACACACACACAGTGGCCATCTGGTTTCTGGAGAAAGATGTCTGTTAGAGTTTAAAGGAGAGAATATACCTGACTGAAACTTTAAATAATAGTTTTGAGAGCCCAGATGCTGTTTGTATTCTTCTGTTATCTGCCACACCTGGTTTGATATTGTGTATTACTGCTGGATTTCACCTGGCAAGGGAGGCCTTTCATTTTAAAATGTTTAGTCAGAATCGTCTTAAAGCATCTTATTAAAAGTTTCAGTGATGAACAGAGCCAGCAGTGCTTATGTGGTCCTGGTCAATGTCCTGTCTTCAGACTTCCCTGGAAGTTTTCGTTTTGTGTATTGTTTGCAACTACCATCATGACTTCCAAATAAGTCCATTCCTAGACGCAAAGAATACTACATTATGCACATGCAGTGTTTCCATGTGTATGTTGATTTCTAATGTTAGTTATGCAGCTTTTTTGGTGTGTCATTTTGTTGTTGTTGTTCGTTTGTTGGTATTTTTTTTTTCTTCTTAAAATAACAGCACTTAAGAGGAAAACAATGGTTTCCTGTCTGATAAAAGAGTACCAGGAAAGCAAATCATATGCAGAAGTTCCCAGGGGAAAAAAAAACAAAACGAAACAAAAAACAAATCAAAACAGCACAACTATAAGGAACTGTTTCAACTTTTTGAAGTCCTTTAAAGGACTGAAAAATACGACTTCAAAATGTTTTTCTCTTCCCCCCCCACCCCCCTTAGAGGTCCCTTAAATCCCCAGCTAGCTGGCACCTTTGAGTTAGAAAAGCCCTCACACTTAGTGTTCCTCCCACAAATGAATCTGTCTAGGTACTTATATGGTCCTCACCACTGTAGTAACTGAATGCTTTCCAAGTATTTAAAAATAGGGATAACAATAACAATCCCTGCCTCATTTCATCTCTTTCTTTCCAGCTTGCTACAAGAATAACTTGATTAATTTATGAGATCTTTGTTGTATACACAGTGTCTGCATACAAGGGATGGGATACGTGTGTGTATATGCCTGCCTACATGTGGTATTTTCAAACTGCATGCATACAGATTCAACTCAATTTCTGAAACATAAAGAAGTGAACACATGTATGTAAGTGTACATACTTACCTATGGTCACTAATATGGACTGCTCCTCTGCACAGTTTTGCAGGAGGTAGCAATTAGTAGAGCTGCAGCCATCCTGCACCACTGCAATTAGAAATAGCCCAAGGAAATAATTATGAATTATGCTTAATGATGATTCAGTTTCAATTGTTAATAGATGGTCTTTGTCCTGTTGCATGACTTGTCGTGCATATACTTCAGGAAAGCTTATACTGTCAATAAATCAAGCTCAGTTCGGACATAGAGGAGTAGTGAAATTACTTAAAAGAAAGGAGCCTTAACAGAACTGTTAAATCCCAGACCTGAGCCTCTACAAGATCCCTGCAAGGTTATTGGCATAGTCATTTGTCTCTTGGTGTTTTTTGGTTCTTTTTTTTTTTTCTTTGTGGGCGTATTTTTTGTTTGTTTCTTTGTTTGGTAGGGGGATATTTGCACTGACTGTGCCCTTGTCTTTTAATTTGTTCTGTTTTATTATTTTTTTTTTCTGACTTCTAGTTTCTTCCCTTTGCTGATGGCCACAACTTTCCCCTTAGTAAGGTTTTGTATCAGCTGCTTTGCTATAGCAATGATCAGAGAATCATAGAATGGTTTGGGTTGGAAGCAACCTTTACGATCATCTAGTTCTAGCCTCCTTTAATAGGTAGGGATATCTTCCCCTAGACCAGGTTTCTCAAAGCCTCATCCAGCTTGGCCTTCCAGGGAGGGGGCATTCACAACCTCACTGGGCAACCTGTTCCTGTGTCCCACCACCCTCACAGGAAATAAATTCTTCCTAATATCTCATCTAAATCTACTAGTGTCCTGTCACTACCCTCCCTTATGAAAAATCCCTCCCCACCTTTCCTGAAGGCCGCCTTCAGGTATTGAAGGCTGCTACGAGATCTCCTCAGAGCCTTCTCTTCTCTAGGCTGAAGATCCCCAGCTCTCTCAGCCTGTTCTTGTAGGAGAGGTACTCCAGCCCTCTGATCATGATGACTATGTGGCTTTGATCTTACAGCATTTTGGATCCAGGCATTTGGGAGGTGTTCAATTTTTTTTCATTTCAGTGAACATTTGGGCACCTGGAAGGTGGTACAATCTCTCATTCTTTCTGAGAAGCCTGTATGTAAAGATTAGGGGTGGGGGAAGCAGTTGTAAATTAAGGAAACAAATGCTGATCTGGTGGTGCTGATAGGTATTGCCATTCACATGACTCACAAATATGCTGGAGTTCCTATCAAGTTGGTTTATATGGTTTAGTAGCTTGTGGTACTGGGAATGGGAGGGTGGTTGGACTAGATGATCTTGCAGGTCGTTTCCAACCTTGCGATTCTATGATTCTATGATGAGGAAAGACAGAACAGAAATTATGCCTTTAACCATATTTCTTCTGGAGATCAGTTTGTAATTATCAGTACTCTGCCTGCCTATGCACCAGGGTAAACAAGACCTCTTTCCATGACTGGTATGTGGCTGACATGCGCAGGCTTGCTTCCACGAATGTGTACTCATCTGAAACAATGCTGTCATCGCTACTCTGAGAAGAACATTCAGTTCTGCTGCGCTGCTGATAGGAACCCAAATGAAGAACACAGGTCAGCTAGTTTCTGGATAGGACTAGTAAAACTAACAATGGTACCTCGGAAATGAATCTGTCCATGTATCATCATGGATAGTTTGCCAATAGTATATAAGCATTAGAATCAATGGTGCAAGAAGTGGTGTATTGACACTGGAAGTCCTTGGAGCTAGACTGACACAAATTACAGATGTCTCTTTCCATGTCCACAGACTCTAACAACAGGTGATTAAAAGGCCACAAGAGGTGGATGTAGCTTAGCAGCATGATTTTTCTAATTTAGTGGAAGTGAAAAATGAAAGCGGAGCACAGTCAATGCACAACAGAGGTTACCAGAGTTTACTGTTACAGAAACATCACTTTAACTACACGTTAACTGCTTTACTTCATATATAGGCTTTTGTTCTGTTTTTCTTTTCCAGAAGACTTGGTTTTCTAGATGAAATGAAAAATCTTTTCCACTTACGAATTCCTTGTCCATTAGTAAGTCACTAAAAAATCTTTTTTTTTTTTTTCTGATGGTTTTCAAGCTTTTAATTTGTAGCTCAGAGTCCTTAATATGCTTAGCTTGATACTCCAAAATTAGCTTGCAATTTGGTATTATCAGGCTACCTTCTGCAAACAACTAGCATTTAGAACAGCAGGAGTGTTACAGACATGATTAAAGTTTGGTCCTTAGCTGAGCATCCTTATGGGATCAAGGTAGTTAAGTCTGCAGAAAGAAACTGGATGCTTCAATGTAAATCAGTGCACCTCCAGTCTTGACATTCAGAATTGGATTCTAGGACATTATATAAAGTGCCTAGGCTCCACATACATTGCAAGAGAAGATTTCTCATCCAATTATATCTTGGGTTCCTAGGCTGAACAGAGCCATTAAAATCAATGACAGTAAATTCTGCTCCTCTTTAGAAGTTTGGGGTGGAAATCCTCTTTTCTGGCGGTAAATGTGTATGTGTGAGACACCTAACGCTCTATTCATCTCTCTATTGACAATTCTTCTGTGACATGATAGGACATGCAGAGATGGGATTCTGAAAAGCCAAGGTGCAGATAGAATTAAAATTGGCAAGGAATGTGAAAAAATAATAGAAGGGGTTATTTGGATACACTGGGCAGAAGAGACAAGATAAATAAGAAGGGAATATTGGCTTCAACAGACAGGGAGGAGGTTGAGGTACTCAATAAATTCTTTGGATCTGTCTTCACTGGCAGTCAGGCTTCCTACTTCTCCCATGTGCCTGAATCTCTAGGTGGGGATTAGGTGGGCAAAATCCCCCCCACTGTAAGAGCAGAGCAAGTCTGAGACTACCTTATGAGGCTGGTTGTGTACAAGTCTATGGGACCAAATGACATGCAGCCCAGGATCCTGAAGAAACTGGCTGATGTGGTTGATGAGCCACTCCATCATATTTGAAAAGTCATAGCTGACAGGACAAGTCTCTGGTGACTGGAGAAAGGGAAGCATCTCTCCAGTTTCTGGGCAGCCTGATCTGGTGGCTGGTGGCCCTGCCCGTGGCAGGGAAGTTTGAACTAGATGATCTGTAAGGTCTCTTCCAACCTGAGGCATGCGATGATGCTTATTAGAATGAGCTTCTCTGGAGAGCTATGTGTTTGGAGATCTCAATCTGATTTAGCAATAAAATAGCTTCTGACTTGCTCAATCCTGTCAAGGCTGAGGAATCTGTGGGTGTAATGGAAATGCTAAGTAACAGCCTGAAGCAGTGATTGAGAACCTGGTGGGAAGGCAGGGACAACCCAGGGGAGCTCAGGTGCATGCAATGTACCTGAGTGACTGGAAGGGTTGGAGCCAGCATCCATCCCCTCTCATACCTCTTTTAACAGTTGGCAGTGAAGGTGAGACTATCTCCCTGGAGATCTCTGCTTATGGCCTTCTGAAGGTGAGCAGCTATTATCCTTTGTTTCTGCATCCACGGCTGCTGCACTTGGGCTTATTCTCTCTTGCTGCAGCCTGAAGCTCTGCTACCCTGCTGTCTTTGCTGTGTTTTGCATCACATTATAGTGCTACAGGGGGTAATATTACAGAGCCTGTGTGTCTCTGAAGTCAAATAGATACTCCATTGGATTTTTCAGTATATCAGCTTTGGATGTGGGTATCTAATTTCTCCTCAATTCCATCTCAAACAACTCTGTTCTTATTTACATCTGGCCAAACTTAGCTTCTTTGTGCAACCTCTTCCAGCCATTTTCTGTATGGAAGTCTAGCATCCACATATTTCCTGGCTTGAGGAGGTCTTCGTTAGATAGGATACTGGATTTGAAAACATTTGCTTTGGTCAAGCACACTCAGTTCATTTTTTCCTCAATCTGCGCTGGTTAGGAATAGGAAGGACTGAGAAAAATAGATGTCTTCCAAAGAAGAATTTTCAAGAAAAGAAGAAACTTAAATAATGTCGTGATATGGAAAAGGCATTTCAAGAATCACAGTGGAAAATAGGACAGGGTGTTTTGGCAACTTTTGGGAGATACTTTCAGTATTGCAGAGACTGGAACTCTGCTCTCAGCATTTCTAGGGTCTCATAGCAGTATCATTCAACAGCAGTTGATGAATGAGTATTCTAACTGTATTTTGAGTATATCATTTTTCATTCAAATTTATACTGAAAAAACCCTGAGACTGCTGGTTGACTCTAGGTAGAAAAGCATTAATTATTTGTTAGGTATTAGTGAAACACTGTCACTCCACAGTGACCAATTTACCAGCTCCTCTAAATGCTGCCAATAAAGAATGGACATGTACAAATGTATTCATTAGCACAAACTAATTAAAATCCAGGCTAATAGCCAGAAAAAGAATACTTTATTGTAAGATTTTTGAATTCATTTTCAGTATTAATCTAACACTAACTGTCCTGGCTCCACGGTTTCTAGTCCTGGAAATCTCATGGCAAGAACCCAACCAATGGACAAGAGTTAGCCTTTTGGATTGCTTATGACTTTTTAACCCTACTTCTAATTTCATGGCTATTTCAGAGGTGCTCCTTCCTGAGAATATATTGCAGCAACTCTTTCAGACACAAAGAGTAGGATAGTGTCCCTTGCCTGAACATCTTTAGTTTGATTGCGCTGTGGTGATGCATTAACTTCTGATGCAGTGTGACTTTTTTCTTCTGTAGTTCACAGTTTAGGTTAGCCTCAATCAGTTCTTTTACTTTTGTAGTTGGTTTTTTTTTTTTTTTTTTTTTTTTTTTTAAGCATTTGTTCTGTTCATTCCACCTATTTTACTCTGCACTTCTTTCTCCAGCCAGACAGCACTGCTGTGTCCTTTTCAGTATTCTTAAAATAATTTAATTCTCATTAAAATTGGCAGTGAAAAATTGGCATTATTATTTTTCTGACTTTATCAATTTAGAAATTGTAAATGTACAATTCAGACCAAAGGGTGCTAGATACAAAGAGGGCATTAAGTCCATTCCCCTCACCCCTCCATTCTTTCCACCACACACTGCAGTACGTGCCTTGCTTTAGTGACAGTCTATAAGCTGCTAATTTTATCATATCCCTCTTATAGAGTGGGAGGCAAATTGGAGAGGAAGGATCACTTGTATCTATTGCAATTACACCAGTCTTTCTCCATTTCAGTGTGAGGGCATAGGGCTGGGCAATGCATGACCTGGAGATTGCACCCTTCACTTCTCTGCCTGCACAATATCACCACAGTATGTAGGAAGTGACTTGATTTCAATATTTTATTTTCAAACCAAATGACAGAGCTTCTGAAACTTGTACTTCCCATTGTGTTCAGGTGAAGGAATGTCTGATACAGCTCTGCAGCTATAGATGCTGCAGAATTTCTGGCTACATTTAAGAATGGAAGTAAAAAGTAAGTATGATGACAATTCTCCGCTGAATTCTCTGATTTGTAGCAGATGCAGTACAACTAAGCAGAAGAATGGGAGGGGAGAGGTTAAATGCAGGCTGAAGATAGGTTTAGTCCTCTGGCCTTAGGTTTCACTGGATTAATGCTCAGGGTAGTGTAGAATATCAGGTGTGGTACCTTTGAGAAAAGATGGTGATGTTGCTGCTCCTGTGTAATAGCAGAGATCCGTTAAGTTTGGGCAGCATGATGGGGGTGCATTTATCCCTCTACTGGTTTATACAGCAAAGATGAGAACCTGATATTTAGATCCAAATATCCCACTTGCCCCTCTGATAACCAGCAGCCTGAGCCCACAAAGAGAAGGAAGTTGAGACAGATAATGAGGCAGCTGCATTCAAGGCTGTTTGGCATCTCAAAGCAGCTACCTCTTGGTCTAGCAGTCAGCAGGCTAATTGCTGGCAGACAGCACGAAGCACGGGTAGAGTATGATCTCTAATGATTTTGTTCATAAAGCAGATAGCAGTATTTTTCACTAGCAAAAATTTCTTTGTGACCTTTGTGACCAAAGAATCTATTCTTAACAAAACCTTGAAATCTTTTTTGAGGTCTGACTTTAGGAGACAAAGATGTGTTCTGCTGCCAAGAAGTTGGAAAAAAAACAACAATCATATCTTCTGCTATTCGAGAGGGCAGGAAGGCAGATGGAAGATGTGTGATTTGGGGCCTCTTTGTCAGTGAGTGACAGATGAGATGCTGTCAATGGAGGGCACAGACATGGGCTTTGCCAATCAGTCATAAGCCATCATTCTGTCAATAGGCACCATTTTGTCCCATCTCACACAAACTTAAGACTTAGGCTTAAATATTTTTTTTCTTTAAAAACCAGGAGAAAGAAATAGCTCTTCTAGACTCCAGTGCAAAGAGCTCTGGAGATAAAGGATCTACAGACAGTATTGCATATCTGCAGCACAACAGTAGATAAACCCAGTGGAACCAGGTACATGGCTTAGAGCTCTTCTTCCTGTGTGTAGAAGTCTGATGCACCTTGCCTGCCTTGACTATTGGACCTCTTTCAAACTGTGACCCACACCCAATGACATAGAAAAGCATCACAACTGTTTTTGAAGTATTTATGGTTTTTGAATGAGGGACCATATAAATAAAAAGCAAGAGATAGATTCGTAAGAGGGAGTCCACTGGGGTCTTTGAGCTAAAAGCCATCCCATTATGGAAGAGCCTCAAAAAGAAGCTGTATTTATGACTATTTTCTCCATACCTGCCATGCCGCAGGTAGACATTGCAAATAATGCAATCTAGAGGCTGTTCTCAGATGAGGCAAAACTAGTGTAGAATTTTGGTCTTTGTTCATCTTTTTAAGATTATTTATGCTAACAGTAGCTTTTTCATTATTACAGGGTAAACTGGTTGAAAAGCAGAATGGGTTAGAATGAGCAAACTTTTTTTCCTTCATTCTTTTTCCCCAATAGAAAGGGCTGCACGCCCAGCCAATTAAGATAGCTACATCGAGTTGTTTCTAGTGCTTCTTTGTAGCTTTTCCTCTATAAATATTTCTGTGAGCTTCTATCTCCTACTGTCTTTGGTTCTAAGTTTCAGTTTTTAATGAACTGAAGTGTAAGGACATCCATAACTACTGTTATTTCTGGAGTGTGCACCATGCAAGGTCATTGAGAAGCTATTTTACTCTACAAAGCATAAGTAGATCTGAATTTACTCTAAACTTGATATGAAAGCATTTTATAACTACTGGAATTGTGACTTCACACACTTTTTAAGAGATCACAATAATTTCCTACGCCTGTAAGTAGTTTTCCCAGGAAATACTACCATGAAGCATATTTAGGGGCATATCTCTTGATTGAACTTTCTGGATATAAACTTGGAAGTAATTAACCTGAGCTGAGATAGAGCAGCTGCTTCTACTCTGCTCTGTGTTTGTGAGGTTCTTGGCCAAGCAGCAAAAAGCAGAGTACAGCTTCTACTTTTGTTCAGCACAGCTTAACATTTCAGTGTAATTACTGAGTTAGAGAGTGATCAGCTTGTTGTCAGCCTCCTTTTCAGGTGTTGGCCATACCTTTTGTTGTTGTATGTTATGCTGTTTGGATGTGACAAAGGAATTGATAAACTTGACCATGCATGCTAGAAAGTAGAACAATGAAAAACAATGTAGATTTTTCCATTCAGACAATTCAAGAAAAGATGTTTTGTTTCTCCCTCATTAATGGCTTGCTTGAGAGGAAAGATTGGTTGATTTTGGGGAGAAAAAAAAAAAACAAAAAAAAACACAACAAAAAAAACATTTCTAGAAGAGTGTGTATAGATTGAGGTAGGCAACAGAAAATAGATAATCAGACCTTCAGCTGTTGCAAATTGCCATAGCTGTCTTCATGTGTTGTCTTCAGTGCTTACTTCAGTGCTTACAAGGCCCTAGAGGCTTTAACTATCCTGAAACTTTTTACCAATCCCTGTCTGATGACAGTAGGTAGTTTTCTGCCAGTGTGACCTCTCATTCTCCTTATTCTCATGGATGACATGAATGTGTCCGTGAGAGTGGGGTAAAGAATGTGATGCAGTGGAATGCCCTGGTGCAATTCCGAGCTACTGGCCCTCCTGCCAGGCAAGTCATACTGCTATGATAGGTCAAGTTACTTGCTCCTTACTTTCTTTCCATCTCCATAAAAGCTGAAGTTTCCCTTTCATCTCTTCTGTGAGCTGTTTCTTTTCTGGTGGGCTTTCTTACTGTCTCTTTCATGCTGTGTTTCTGTCTTGTTGCTAATTCTTTCTCCTCCCCAGAGAATTTAATGTCTCCTCAGGACAGATAGGTCAAGCACTACTTCTTCCTCTAACTGCCTCCACTTATTTTCTCAGGCAAACTTTGTTTGCACCTATGTTCAAGAATATATGTTCATCAGAAGAGGGTAACTGACTAATGCTCTAATTTTTGGAGTCATGATTAACCTCAGCTGAAGTCTCTAGTTTCTGCATGGTCTCAAAAACAGTTAGTGTTTTCCAAACTAGATTTGACTGGAGCTCAGGTGAGTAGACAGCAAAGAAACACTGGAAAGAAGAGCACCACATTTAAGGAGATAAAGCAATCTTTAAAATAGTGTGATTGGAAATAAGCACTTTCAATTGTCTTTTATTTTTTAATTTTTTTTTCTCTCCTTGTCAGTTTGGGAATGAGAGAGGGAGTTTCCTGAGGAAAAGGGAATAAAAATATTTAATTTGTTATCTTTACATTCAGGTCTGAAATTCAAGCAGTAAAGAAAATGAGGTGGATTTTAGTTAGGAAGAAAGGAGACTGGTTTGGGGGTGTACTGTATATTGTGTATTGTGCATTCTGCATGTGTCAACACTTGTAGTTTCAGCCAGTGACTTATGTCCTAGCTTAAATCTGTTACTGCACTAACCCAGCTTGTGTTCTCTGATGCAGAGGAAAGACATGAAATTTTGTCATTCTTTTAGATGTTAATATTGTTAAGCTCACATTCTTGTAATCCTCAGAAACAGAGGAAGGAAAAAAGTCTATATAGATTAGAAAAATATGAGCTGGAGTAATGATCTGAGGTTGGTCAATTGTGTGTGTCAGCTAAGATGGTGTTTCAGATTGGTTTTATTGACAATCTGACATGTCTGTAAATCCAAGCAGAACTCAGAGTGTCTGTCAAAGCTTAAATTCAGGTAAGGGAAAATGGTTTTTTCATATGTTTCAAATAAGCAACAGAATTAAGCGTGAGATAAATCCTCAATCACAGAACATGTGATGGAGAGCTTTGATTAGCTTCTGTGTTCTATGTAATCATTACAAATAACAAACAAAAAAATTTTTTTGAGCCTAAAACTTTGAGGAATCACTGGCAACCCTCAAAACACTACCACAAGAATATCCACATTCCCCTTTTGACTCTCTTTGAGATTTTGTCTATCTGTATCTTTATTTCATTTATTTGCAGTCTTTGCTCACATTATGTATACTTATTTTGTTTGCTATTGTCCGAATTGGTGGCAAGGCTGAATCACTGAGCTACTGAATTCTGCTGGTTATCAAATCCCTTTTCGGCTGTATACAGCTTTGCCAAAATTTTACTGCTTCAGCTACAGTTTGCCATGTTAGTTGCTTGCTGTCAAGCAGAATTTATTTTGGAGGGGTTCAGCAAAGTCATCCCAGTTGTTTCCAAAAATGAGTCTTGAACAAAATACTAGCATGTCTACCATTTAAAAACAATTTCTGGATGCCTCTATTCAGATTGCTCTGAACTGTTATCATTTTGAACAGGAGCTTCAGATTTACCATTTAATATGTGGCTTTTTCTATATTCAAACATTGCCAAGTTGTAAATGTTTGGAAAGATGAGCCTTACATGTGTGTGCATTCAGTGAAGCAGTTAATTTTTTTGAATCACTGAGCAAAGTAGCAGGCACCAAGATAAATAAACCAATGCTGTCTTTGTGGGGCTTGGGTAACTTCGTTTTTTTCTAATTGCTTCTGCTTGCTACATTTTGGCCAGGAAATGGAGCTGTGAGCATGGTGTAGCCTTTGGTATTACCAAGGTAACACAGTTACTTAGGAGAAAGTGTACCTTCTGCCTTGAATCCAGAGGGGACAGAAAGTACAGCTCTGAGGTCAAAGGATGGAATGTTGGAGTTCACTAATTCCTGTCTGGAAACTACAGCCTCAGAATATTTAGAGAAGGATTAGTAGTTGTGAATGGAAACTGGGTTTAGAAGGGAGGAATGCGGAAAAGGCGTGTCGTAACTGGAAGAGACCAAGAGCCAGTTAGTGTGGGAAAGGGTTGAATGGAGTTCTGGGGTTAGGGGATACCCTGGTACGATTTTGTGGACTAGGACTAATCAGATTTAAAAAAAAAAAAAAAAAAAAAAAAAAAAAAGCAGCATTGAGGTTTACTGGGAAACCTCATCTACTGGGTATGATGAGGATCTCAGCTGAGGAAGAGGTGAGGTTAGGCCAGAGTTCTACAGAGAAG